CCGTCGAGGTGGGATTTTTAATTTACGTAACGCATAATGGCGTATCTGGTCTATTGGCCTGACGTTTGTTTGGAATTTATTATTCTGCTGAATAAACTGACCTAAATATCACTGAAAATAGCTTACTTTTATGTACATCCGAAGATAAACGTGTTTTATATGATCTTTAGCGTTATTGGCCCGGGGTGAACACCAATCATTCACAAATGAACAAAAAAAACGATCATCAAATACATACTGCAGTTTTACTTTGGTACACATATCGTTGATCTCATTATAAATTTGCAAATTTGAAAACATAATCTTATTTATTAGTATTCATAGACGTTTTAAATATTTTGTAATATTTACCATAGAAAATAACAATAATACAAATTACTTATTAAGACGTATAAGTGACAGGAATGATTGTTTTGAAGGGCGGTAGTCGTCGCGCCCCGCCACGTGTGACATTTGTGTCGATAAACATTGATTTTCCCACAATCCAATGCGCTCTTCTAATGGAAATCACAAGTAGGAGGTTTGACCTGGTCGTGACTTGCACTAAATACCGCCGCTGACTCTTTCGGTGCCTTCCAATCACCTAAAAAATACCTAATTAAAGCTTGATAACGTCTCAGTTTGTACTCATTGATCTGCGCAACATCCAAAGTCGCCATCTTTGTTTATATGTGACACATATATCTCGCGCGTGCGTGGCACGACTAATTTTTTATTTGCCTTGCATGTATCATTGTGCCGAATATTCATCTTCTGGTACGATGTTGTTCATTATTATAATTTATGCTAATATCTATAACTGTTGCAGCTAATTTCACTAAATGCTCAGAGGCATATTAAAGAGGAACTTTCCAAGCCAAAAGAATCATGGGACACTTTATGTTGTTTACAATATTAAAGGGCGGTAGTCGCCGTGCCGCGTCCTGTTCGATATGGGACTCATAGCGACGTACAACGCGTGTAAAATATGATATATAGAAGATAATATTTGGTAATCGTAGTCCTAAATAACTATTAAAAATAGCTAGACGTTTCGAGCATTGGCTCTTTATCCATTGTAATTTTAATCCAGAAAGTAAATTTTTTATGAGATTAGGCTTAAGTGGAAATGCCCCTTTAAGGTATAAAATATACGAAACACCGCGATGCAGTCGGAGGGTCAAGGAGTCAGTCAAGGAGTGTCTGATGTCCGCCAGTACTATCATAGACAGCGGAGTGTATAACATCTGTGGTTATTTGGTCTTATGTGAAATACTAAATATGAACGTCTTATGCTATTCAGGGGTCAAGGGTCGTTTACGTGACTGAAAGTGTTGGCAAACTTTTCTTCTAAGTGGCTATTCAGTTCTGTTTTCAAATTATCAAGAATTTATAAGATAAATAGAGCTCTTCAAATAAACTGCTGCTCCCACTTCATCACGTTGTGGAGAATCTACGAACATATAAAAACAAATGTGGTCTTGTATGTAACTGTGACCCACGGTGGCGCATGTGGTGATGCGGAGAAGTTAAACCAAAAACAAACTGACAATGCGGAAGTCAATGAACCATGCGCTCGTCGCCTGCTACTGTTGGCGTTGAGAAATCCAGGCTTGAAAACTCGCGAAAACGTACGAAGTATTTATTTAACTGTTTACCTCATGCACAGTGTTTACAACGACTGAAAACTGCTTGCCCACATTGATTAAATTGATTTAGGTTGAAAAAAGCTACGCCGTCGACTGTGCTAATGGGTGGAATAACGGCCCGGGTTCTTTACTACCCGACTCTACTCTTTAACGTTGTCATGTCTAAAGTATCGTCTAGGCGCTGGTATGACCGGATCGACTCTACTGTCATTTTAGGAGCATTGCCCGTTCAGAGGAATTACCAAGCAGGTAAGTGTATCGTTGCTGGGAAAGACTTTCCAATGTACATCTCTAATTCTAAATCTAACCCGACCTTCTATTGCCCCCTCAAACTAATTGTATAGGAATTAGAATGTGCGTAAGTGACGTCCTATGGTAACACCCCTATAGAACACCTACAGTTATCTAGAGGGGCATATAGAACTGAATTGGGGCGCTGGAAGTTTAGGTTTCGAGTTAGAATAAGGGGTGGGGGTGAATTAGTCCGTTAATCTTTATATCTTTAGTCCGAAAAAGATAGTAGTCTAGTAGATAGTATTTTAAATACTTCATCGATGTTCCTATTGTGAATTATTTTATTAGAAATGAAGTGAATATGCAATTTAAACCATACAATAACATACCATATCATGCGCAATGTTTAAATTTTACTATAATATAATAAACTCTGGGCAGCGCACTTTGATTACATTATTCTTGTACATTTCAACTGATAACCACAAGTTTGAATTACATCCGACGATGGGCAATGACCTCCAGAGTTCATGCACTGACATTTAAAGCAAGAGAGTTGTCATCTACGCATGCGTCCATAGTGTGTCTACCCATGCCTACCCTTAGCTGAAGTTGACAATACATAAATACATACATTATGTATTATTTGGTTAACTTGTGTCTTTTGTCACACCAAAATGGTTCAATATTTCAGGGCTAAAGTATTGAGGACTGTTCACAATTATAATTATCAAACTTTTGACATATCATATGAACATTTAGGTTTTAAAGTTGTATTATGTTTTAATTTTTGTTGAAAATGATCATTTCCTCTTTTCAGAAATATATTTTACTATACAGCATACATTATAAGGCCTGAAACCAGTTGGTTTGAGTTTTCAACAACTTAGGGAGTCTCAATTCAACATTGTAAATAAACTACTATGTATAT